TTCTAAAAATCAATGTATTTTGTTCGATGTTTGTAACATCCCTAGTGTTGTGTGTGAAAAAGAAGAAATGGTTCAGGTTAGTGTAACGTTGTGTTTGAAACAATTTAACCAACACTCGATTTCGATTATTATTACACAATGAATATGTAATCGAAATTTCAAAAACAGATAAGCAATTGTGCTGTTCTAACTAAAAATATTTTATATCCGACCGCCTTTATAAGGTTACCTTGCTGGAATTTTGAAGAAGTATCAAATGTGATTTATAAAATTGTCCCAAGAACACGACGTATTTCAATAATTAATGTTACTTTATTTAAAATAATAATTGTATTCTCAATAGTATGACAGTTCTTACTTAATCATTACTTCTCAAAATATTGTCTTAAATAAAATGAACAGAATTTGAAGTCGTGTTCTATTAAAAAATAGGAGTTCTGTCTTATAATTTTTAGTGTACCCGGTAAATTAAACCAAGTATTATGTCTACACAAGTCGAAACACCCTGTACCAATATTCTGATATTGAATTATATCAGTAAAAACAACCGACTTTACAGAATCGGGTTCTTAGGTAACTTAGACAACAAAGCGTAAGTCGCAACCCTAATAGTGACTAAGCACGCAATATTTCCCCAGCAAGTCGAGTTAGACGAGACACTACTCAGTCAGTCAGCGTGAGCCGTCGGTGGTCGAACTTTCTAGTGCTGGTGTTTACAATTTAATAATACGCGGTAAGTTAATGTTCAATTTAAGTGACAATTAGGAAAATTACTAACATCTATGTCTAGTTTATTTGTTGTTATATGTGACTAATGATTTATGAGTTAACGTTTAATACATAAAAAAGGTCTTTATATGAATAGTTTAAGACGATATTTTTGATTGTTTATCTGTGTCAGAAATTAAAATTTGACTATTTATATAATTTGTTAAAGTTAATTCATTGAAATGAAAACTTAAACAACATAGATAACATTTATTGTGAAATATTAGAGATTTTTCTATACTAAATCGTGTTATAACAACTTTCGCGTGAAAATTTGAAAGATGTATTTTATAGTGTAGTGTAGATATAACGACATGGTTTGTTATTGGTACTATAACTAATTCATTTTTATACGAATTTGGAACAACAATGATTTTATCTGTAAAAAATGTTACTGTTTTGATAAAGATTTTATTAGTAAAAAATTATGCCATTTAACGATTTGTAGTTTTTCAAGGTTATGTGAAACAGGTCGCGCTTAAATTCCATGGTATTTTATTGATAAAGTTACATCAAGTTACATCTTGCTGTCTATATAAATAACTTAAAATTGTGAAATTTCTAATGAGACTTTTTTCTTAATTAACCAGCATTTGCCTTTTGAATGACGTTTTTAAGGTGAAAATAATTAAAACCTTTCTGTATTTCTATGATTATTGGATCTGTTGGATTTTCGAAACTTGTATGATTTCGATTAAGAAACATTTGTTGGAATATTTATTTTTATAAATATTACATAAACAGACTTACCAAAAGTGAAATGACGTATTCGAACCCATGACCACGTCATAGGTAACTCTTTACTATTAGACTATTAACGCTTAGAAAACCAAATTAGTTACTATTATAGTTAAGTATTGAGCTCTCATTAAAAAAGTTATGTACAAATCGATATCTTATCCTAATTCGAGTATCGTTTGAAAGCTAGAAGTTCACCGTTTATTCGAATTGCTTTCAACAAAGTAATTGCCAGTTATAATTATTTACACCAGTGTTAAATTTGTTACTTTTTATGTAACAACATAGTACATATGTAGTACAATTTGATTACGTTTGCTGCATTCGGTAACGATTTGTGCGTTTCATCTCATATTATCTAACTGTACGTATCGTGTTTTGTTGCTATGTTACAAAACATAATTAGCGTGTTTTTTGTATTTCCGTTACATTTTGTAACATTTTCTATACAATGTTTTGAGTTATTAGACAGGGATGGCGAAGGTTCACTTATCAATATTTTTAAGTAACCATTTAAGATTATAGGAAACATTTAATACTGGCTGTTCCCGTGCGGCTTCATTCGCATGAAATTATAAAAACTTTATTTTACTGTTTACATTTGTCATGTTCTTAATTGCAAATGTCAAATTTACTGTTACCATAATAAACTTGCTTCCTTAATGTTGGCAGCTTATAGTTTATGGTCCCTTTCCCATGTGAAGGTTTTTCCATTTTATTTAAGTTTAATAGCTTGAAAATATATAATCACAAGTATTTTATTGAAGATTTTTTTTTCAAAAATATGCTGTGATTGCTGACATTACACTCGAAGTAGTGTGTGTTTACGCTTTATTATATTAGTCTAGGTAGATGTGCGTTTGTAAAAATTGGGTATATTCAGTTACTATTGTAGTCATCACTTTGCGGTCACTCCTAATATACCATAGAATATCTTTCATACTTTTTTCGTAATGCATAGTTAATTTTTTGATCAGAGATGAGCCCAGAAAAGTTAAGCACGCCTGCAAATGTTTCGCAACCCTTGGCTTAGTGCTTTACAGTATTACTGTCTTACATGAAACAAGGTAAATGTTATCTATCCAGGATATTTAACTGTTCGTGTTTATGTCATTCCTTTTTGGGAATTTGTGTATATTAACATTACATAAATATTTGTAAATACATTCTTCCGCTCTTCTTAAAACTGATAAATTATGAACAAAAGGTAAAACAGTATTTTTTTAATTCATACATTTTTTTTACTAAGTCAAACGCTTTACTAACAGAGGCATTTAAAGGTTATAGCGCTTTTATCATTTTCGCACTAACGCATTTGATAAGTGCGCTATAACCTTTATAAAACTCGTCTCAATAGTAACTGCATTACCGGCGAGTTTATTTATTTGCAGTACTTCTGTAGTATTATATGATTCTGTTTTTCTAATTATTGTTTACTTATAACTTGAAGGTTAAGCACAATAGCGATGTTATGTACTTATGTCACGCGAACCATACTGACTTTGAAGACTAACCATGCATTAACATTTACCTCATTTTATTGTATTGATATTTTAACTCATTGTGTTTAAAAATTTGTTTTAAAGCAAACTTCATACTAATATTATAAATTCGAAAGTTTAGATGAATAGATGGATGTTTGTTAGAGTTTGTAGCCTAAACGGCTGTACGGATTTCTATGAAATTTGGTATAGATGTAGAGGATAGTCTGGAAGAACATATAGGCATAAGGCATAACATACACTTTTGTTTTTTTTAATTCCACGCGGACGGAGCCGCGTGCGAAAGCTAGTGATTTTATAGTTTTAAACTAACTATTATATTCTGTAAACTATTATACTTTATTTTATTTCAGTTACTTTGGTAGAATAGTATATGGTATAATAAATCTAGTTCATCATTTATGGTTAACTTAAGCATTAAGTAAGGTAGAATAAGTTATGTAATGTTTGAAATAATAAAACATCCGGTTGAAACGGAGCGTAAACTTTCACTACTTCTGAGCGGGTTCTCTATGAATGTTATTTACATTTGTTCTCCACCTGTTATAGATACTTTTGATTATATTATCGAAGTTATGTAAAATAATATTACTATACAAATAATTTAAGAAAATGTATTGTTTTATATGTACAAGTACATGTTCTTTCATAGTAATACACACCAAAATGTTGTTCCATACAAAGATTTCGAAGGTAACAAGACGTCATAGTCTGAATCTTTAACTGAGCAAACTAGATGAACCACGTGTCTAGAATCATGCAATGGAAACCCACATTTAAAGTGAAAAACGATATTCTACTAACACACTGGGTATCGTTTCAAACCTCGTATGTCATGTCACAATAATTTTGCGTAAGCCAGTTACGGAATAACGTGATTTTGCGGTTAGGGGAACCAGTTTGTGATAGTTTAACGCTGCTTGAATTTTTGTAGTCAATCCTTGTGTTACTTAAAAGGGAAATCCAAGACTCTTGCTTAAAAATAATACGGAATATCTGATCAGAAATAAAATTAATCAAATTAATCACCTCAAACATTTCAAATGTAGACAAAAGCGTGAAACGAGATAATTTTTTTTTTTTGATTTCTCTTATATCCACGTTTTGTACCGTATCTGATAAAATAATCAAGGTTATGTGGAGTAGGTCAATTCGCAGAAGAGGCGTATAATTTACGCTAATACCCCATTTTAAAAGGTCTATTATATCATCACATTGCTATTACGCAAAATACTTCGCAGGTGTGTTGGAGATTGCACATAACTTTAAACATGCTTGACACGCCTGTTGATGTACCCTAGTTCAATTCTGTGGTCACTGAGATAAAATCACATGATACTATACAGTTTATTGTCTAGAGTTGAAATATTAAAGAGTTGAATTAGCTTGAATGATCTAGAGTAATCTTAGTAGATCAAAATTTCACCAAACATTTATTTATAATTGTTAAGAATAACTATAACTATAACTAGAAATAAGAACCTATATTCTCTGAATTAATCTTTTGAAATAGCGGAATCCAAATCAATATTCGTTTTAACACCTTTAGTAAGTTTTCATTTGTTTTTGTGTATTAACAGTCTAAGGTGGAGTTAATGCCATATTACTTTATCATAGTTGTAAGTAACTTATACTATTGATCTTCCTCAGCTTGAGGCAACATGAATTCAGAAGTGAACGAATGGTACAGAGGGCGTCATGTCCTCGTCACTGGAGCCTCAGGGCTCATGGGAAAGGTGCTTATTGAGAAGATGCTGTACAGCGTGCCCGATATAGGCTGCGTATATGCTCTCGTGCGCTCCAAGCGCGGCAAGACGCCGGAGTCACGGATAGAAGATATGTGGAAATTGCCCGTGAGTTAGCCAATTTTTATATTTTGAAATTCACGTTTGCTGCGGAATAGAAAAGTGAAATCGAAGTAGTTAAAATTGCAAAGAATAGAGTAAGTGTAAAAGAGATTGCTCGAAAAACAAGACTTTAAAATTGTTAAAAAGGATTATGATTTTTGTTTTAAATTGCCGAAGAGTGTAAAATTTACTCTCATATCCAATTTAATATCATGGTAAGAAGGAAAAGTCTTTGTCAAGTTATAATATTGTCGATTAAAATAAACAAGCATACATATTATAAGTTACGTATTTAAGTTTCTAACGTCGATTGATTCGTAATATTTGCCTTAAAGTTTACAATGTAATTTCCAGCTGTTCTCGAGGATACGAGAAGAGAAACCGCATATGATGAAGAAACTCGTTCCCGTGTCTGGAGATATCATGTACGACAATTTAGGAGTTGACCCTAAAGTACTGGAACAGATTTATAATGAGGTAAATATTGGTGAAGTCCATAAGTGCAACATAAATGTGATTTTATTTATACTGTAGTTAATTATAATGTCCGTTAGATATCTACTGGATTCCTAGTATGGTAAATGAATTAACGGGTGCTATTTACGTAGTTCTAACGGCGACGCAACACACATTGGGAAATACGAAGTAAAGAGAAAGCTGTTAGAGACTTGTGGTGGCCTGTGGTAATTAAATAATCTTCTGTGGCCAGAACTGAGAAGCTTTTGTAACTTAGACGTTAGATGAAAAGTGCGAGAATGTTTTATCTTAGTTATAAACTCCTAGTTAGTGTTTTAAAGCGTATAGTGATTTATACAAAGCGATGAATTATGGTGATGATTTTTTTAACGCGACAGTATAATCAAATACTATAAAAAATTATGTAAATGTTCCAGGTTTCAGTGGTGTTCCACTTCGCTGCCAGTCTCCGGCTCGAGGCGCCGCTGAAAGAAGGTCTGGAGATGAACACCAAGGGCACCATGAGAGTTCTGGACGTGGCAAAGAGAATTAAGAACCTCGTATCCTTCGTGCACCTGTCAACAGCTTTTTGTTATCCTGATTACAGTAGGATGGCTGAAAAGGTTACCTAAGCATTTTAATTATTGATCAAATTAAAAAAAAAATCTTTGTACATTCGAAAGCAAAATTATTATAGTACGATTTAGGCAATTTCGAACATAATGTAAAACAGAAAAGAAAAATATGATGCGATAGGACACAGTAGGTTTAGTAAGAAGGAATAAGATGTTTTCGTAGTTTTATCATGTGAGTAAATTCTCTTGCAAATATCAATGTTACTTTATACAAAGATAATAATCATACTAATTATATATTCGTAAATACGAATGTTTTGATGGATGGATGTTTGTTAGAGTTTGTAGCCTAAACGGCTAAACGGATCTGAATGAAATTTGGCATAGATGTAGGACATAGTCTGGAAGAGCACGTGGGCTACTCACTTTTCTTTTTAATTCCATGTGGAAGGAGTTGCAGGCAAAATCTAGTAAATGATAAATTTAATTCAGGTTCACGATCCACCGGCGAATCCTCACGAAGTATTGCGAGCTGCGAGCTGGCTGACAGACGAGCAGGTGAACCTTCTGACGCCGTCCATGCTGCAAGCGCACGCCAACTCCTACACGTACTCCAAAAGGCTTGCGGAAACGCTTGTCAAGGAACAATACCCTGACCTACCAGTATGCGTCGTGCGACCGAGCATTGGTGAGATATTGAACTATTTTATACCTTTTTCTAGGTAACTATTGGATTTATATGACAGTTCCTTTCTTAAAATTCACCCATCCAAGAGCACTTCATCAGTCGACATCTAAGGACTTTTTGTTAAACATTTTTTAAATCATAGTGCTTGGAGCTTGCACACCTGAAACTAAACTATCGCACAATTGTATAATCTCGCTTTGATTTCTATGAGGTTATATGCTCACACTACTCGATTTTTAGTTGTCCAACTAAACAGTTGAACAATCGACAATCGCACAACACTTGTGCGATAGTTTAGTCATAAGTGTGCGCACGCTCCTTAAATACGATTTTAATTATTGGTATTTTATTATGATACATAAACTTAAATATTATATTATAGTTACACCTTCATATAAAGAACCGATAGAAGGCTGGGTTGACAATTTGAATGGTCCCGTGGGGCTGATGGTGGGCGCGGGCAAGGGTGTCATCCGCTCCATGCACTGCATCGGCCACTACCACGCTGAAGTCATCCCTGTGGACATCGCTATCAATGCCATCATAGTCATACCTTACCACATCAACTCTCTACCTGAAAGGTTTGTTAAAATATGTCCTAAGTTTTATAAATGCACATAAACTTCGCTATTTTAATAAAATACTGTAACAACGTTATTGCAAAAAAATTGCTTGCTATAACCCGATTTGTAGGGAACTACGGTTAATTTTTTATTTTAACAAGACATGTAACTTTAAGTTGATTGTAAGACAATTTTGTTGTAAAAAATATCTAGGTAATCATTTTCTTTCATATATTTGTAACCAGAAGTCCAGAAATCCCCGTCTTCAACTTAACATCGGGTGACGATAGAGATACCACGTGGAAGGAGGTTTTAGACGTGGGGAAAGCAACGGTCAGGAAGTATCCTTTCGAAGGCCCCCTCTGGTACCCGGACGGCAACATTCGTCACAACAAGTTCATACACAGCATCTGCGTCTTGTTCTTCCATATCCTACCCGCCTATCTCATTGACTTCTTAATGCTTATATTTGGACAAAAAAGATTGTAAGTATTTAATAATTTAATATTCATTCAATTGTGGTATAGATTTTTTTCTGTAGATTGGAATGTTTATCTTCTGTATCTCCTCTTACTTCTTATACAATAACAAAACCATTTTTACTTTAAATATCCAAAATGTGTGCATCGTGTGTTGTCAACGATCAAATGGCACTAACATCTTGAATTAATAAAAAGGCCTTGTACCAACAAATATAGGGTCATAACAAATCTTTTAAAAATATGATTTTTTTGCAGTATGGTACGAATCCAAAATCGCATATCAGTCGGTTTAGAAGTCCTCCAATACTTTACGACTCGTGAATGGTGGTTCGACACGAACAACTTTAAAGCATTATCTACACGCCTTAATGCTGCGGACACGAAGAACTTCCCGATGGACTTGAAAATAATCGAGGTAGAACCTTATATAGAGAGCTGTATGTTGGGAGCGAAAATGTTCTGCTTGAAGGAAAAACTCGAGAATCTTCCTAAAGCAAGACTACAGAACAATATGTAAGTACAAATGATATACAATACTATAAGTTACTAATGTATAGTAAGAGACGTACTAAGATTTTAAGCATCATTAGCTCATCATCAGGGGCTCTGAGCCTACCCTTTGTTAGAGGTGACTAGACCATAGTCAACCACGCTGGTCCACTGCGGGTTAGTTGAATTCCTTCGCCGATATGTGTAGGTTGCATCACAATGTTTCGTACTAACGACTAGTAAATTATTTACATATGAAATTGTAAAATCGAAACACACATATATGACAGGATTAAGGCAGGAAAAATAATTGAAATTCTTTTAAAATTCAGATTATTGACAAACATCGTTTGTTTCAGACTGTACGTGCTTGATTTGTTGGTGACTGCTTTCGTCTTCTACCTGCTGCCGTTATATCTGTTAGCTACGTACGTTGAACCTTTCAGAATGGTCCTCTCTTTTGGAGGTCCTTTTGTAAGGTATCTGCCACTTGTAGGCAAAGCTGTGTTCACTGAGGGATAGGATTGTGATTTCAATCCTTATGTACATACTTTATTTCCAATGTGTATACATTTAAAGGGACTGGTTTTTATAAAACTGTATTTTACACATAATAATTTTACCTGTTGCCAGGCTTTACCAATATTCTTAAGAATTTAATTCATTATAATCTGTGTTAAATATTTCATGTTATTTTTACATTAGTAAATGATTTATTAATAACTTTGTGTAATTAATATTAACGTTCTAGAACTTTAGCTCCAATATACTGACAAATTATGGCATTTATAAGGGTATTTGTTTAAATTCAAAGTAAAGAATATATACAAACTTATAATAATGCTTTATTAGAGTTAAATCATTTTTTTTAGATATCAACATAACCGTGAATGTACAAAAACATGCATATTCAGACCAGAAATATAAATATCGTCGCGAAATTGCGGACAAGCATGTAACTGATTTCTTTGCATACATAAGAAATTTATGTAACAGAGAAGTCGGTTAAAGCGCTCCCAGAGATTCTCGGTTGCTCGGTTGTTCTCGTACCTTGCTAAAATCTAACCGCTAAACCGATCGTCCAAGTAACCAAGCAATTTGTTTTCGTGTTCACATATGAAATAACATTTGGCATCACAGTCGATGCTAGTGAGTGTGCCGTTGTAGTGCATACCACCGCACGCCATATCCTCGTTCACATTATCAGATACTTCAGCCCATTGGTTGTATCCGCTGTATTGTATCAATTCACCTGGAAAAATAGCCTTCATAAATATTATGACAGAGTTACACGAAAGGTAGAAACAAACAGATGAATCAAAGTTAAAACTCATAGAATATTCAGCCCGCGACGACTGGCGCTAGTGTCGCGGTTAGGTTAGGTTAATTCTTTCAGAAATTATACAATAGCTAAAAAAATATTACATGATAGTTACAGTATGAAAAGGATCTTATGAGAAGTTTTTTGGCGCTAACTGGAGCACTAGTGAGCGTTTATATTTTAGTTTGTCTTATGGCCACATCATATAAGTGTACTTAATATGTTTGTAAAAAAAAAGTAATTTACCTAATATCGTTTTCCAGCCAGTTTTGTCCTTAATGCTAATTCCTAAAGCGATAAAATTACACGGAATCGGTGTAATATCATTAATACTGAACGCGTCACTGGTTAACTCTGCCAAATATTGTGCTTCCACTTCGCTACTTATTACGGCCAGGTAAGATTCTTCGATGTCGCACACTAGCGCCGCTTCGCTCCAAGTTGCGGGAGTCTGGTGAAGCTTGTAACAGCGGGATGTCTCTTCACTATATCGGTATTCTGATAAAGAAAACATAACACGTAAATTATTGTTTCCATTAAATTGAATGTCTATTATTAAGAAGGCCCACAGAATAAAAAATATCAATGACACATAGTTATTAAAATCACAACTAATATTTTTTTTTTATCTTTCTAACATTCTGAATTCATAAACGCTAATATTATGAACCATTTACAATGTAAAAAATCGCTCATATTAACAGCAAAAACCTTACCTCTGTCCGGAATATTACAAAGTTCGTTCCATTTAACAGAGGCTAGAGTTTTTTTGCATATGAAGTTATATGTTTTGTCACATCTATCGTCGTTGAGTGTACCATTGAGAGCCATGGTCAGGCAGTGTTCGTTACCATCGCTGTTGTTAGGCTCTCCTTGAGCCCAGTTATTGTAAACATCATTTATAGAAACTCCTGTAATTTAAAAAACACTTTTTATTCATCTCACAGTGGTGCATATGTACTCAAAAAACCCACACCTCTCTAAAGAGGAAAACATGTGAAGTAATCGGTTTATCAATAGGAAAACCCCAAAAAACTATTAGCATATTATGTAACAAAGTAATTACAATTCTATTGCCTATGGTAGTTAATAGTTGTTTTGGTATCACGTAACATGGTAACACGTATCAAATATGCACATAATATTATTACCACTAATTTTAGATTAAGCTCACCATCTACAGTTCTATAGACTTCGTTGGCCACTAAATCCGAAACGCCAATGTATATAGTATTGAATCCATGAGTTATATTCCAGTAAGCAGTAATTGATTCAACCTCGTACTGGTCTTCAGGGTAGAACAAAGTGGCCCCTTCTAGTTTACATCTCTTCTTCGCTTCTTCCCAAGTTCTAGCCATAGTGTGAATTTTATAAAAGCTGCGCCTGTCTTCGATATATTTATAATCTTCGCGGAAGAAATTTTTGTCTGCCTGGCCTTAAATATAATCAATAATGCGCACATTTATTTTATAGGTACAGTTTATTCTATGTTTTATTGTCCGGCTCTTATCCCTAAGGAACGTTGGCACAGTACGTACTGCTATTCCATATATCTATCAGCCGCCTTATCTGAATTCACTCCCTATTGCATGTCGTCTTACACACAATCCATCCTTACTTTCTTCCTTCTACCTCTACATTTGCAGCTGGCAACCATTCACATTAATCGCTCTTTCTCCTGTTGTCTATTCTACTGTTTTCATGAAATCAAGTTCGTTCAAAACAAGATTTATTATTGTTTTTATTAAATTACTAACTTATAAGTATCCTTCAAATTGATATTATTCCTATATATATTCTTAGAATAAGATATTAAAATCTTGTTTTGTTTACCGAGTCTTCTGAATATCATTTTCATCACATTCCATGCTTTGTGGTCTTTGAACCAGTTAACAAAAAATCACGTTTTTATAATGATTTTAAAAATACTTACTGAATACATTAGTTAATATAAAACAAACGCAAAACGACACTACACATTTAAAATTCATTATTGCAGGTGAATACGACTGGCTAATATAAATATGATGAAATACTGGCTAGAGTAAACATATATGTGTGTGTGTGTGTATGTGTGTGTTTATACACAAAGGTATATGAAGGTCGTGCATAAAAACTGGATTAACAGGATATATGAGGTAGTCATGTTTGTATGTGACTATTGAACTATGCTGAACTCAAGTGTAAAGGTCACATGGACTCGGCGTCTTCAAATAGATATAGTATGTGTTTGTGTGTATAGTAGTATGTGTGAATTTTTAATTCCATTTTAAGACATTTTAACCTTTACATGGCTCCTTTCTAAATTATTGTAGAAATAACTTCACTAATTTGAATCGTAGTTATTTTTTAATGTAAATAAGGCGTAGTATACTAAAAAAATATTTAACTAAAAACACATTTTAAATGTAAATATTTAATTATTCTTAAAATTATAAATCTAAAAGAATTTGCGTTTTACAAAGACAAAACATAGATGACAAGAATAAGTTTAATATTTTATTTGTTTTATTAACGTTTTAATTAAATTCAAGTATTTAAATAAAAAAAAATAGAAATCTGTAAAGTAAGACACAGAAAAAAAGAAAAAATAGACTTGTTAATGCTTTCATTTGGTTGACAATACTAAACTCTTTTCTATTTTTACACCGATTAGGTTATAAAATCGCATTGAGATTATCATTGTCTCTCTCACAAATGAAATAGCAATGTTGAGCTTCACAGCTGATATCGTTGAGTTGTCCGTTGTAAAACATGCCGCCGCAATGCTCCTGTTCTCCACCGTCCGGCTTGTAGTAGTTCCATACAAAGTAACCAGCCTGCTCCAAAGTATCACCTGAAATATAAATAAAATCACTTGTTTCATTAAACTAGAGGCGTAACATTTATACGTTTACAGATTTAGGGGGAGTATGTCGTATGTCGCGGTAATAACCCTACACTAAATTGATCATTGTCGTGAACCATCATTCAGAGATAATTACAATTATATTCAATTAGAAGCATTAAATTAGTCAGTTTCTGATAAGACAGAAAGGTCTTTTTTGGCGATACATATCTTACATGTTTGTAATTTCTTGAGCAGAAACTGTCTTGTTGCCGTATCCTGAACAACTCGGCTTAAAGTTAGTTCATTCTTTTTCAAGGAGAAGACTTAAAGGCTGTAAGAATTTGCTATTTGGCCCGGGATTCCGTCCGCGTAGATTTACAATAACAAATTTAAGCAGCCTATGTGTTATTCCAGATTATCTTCTACATCTATGCCAAATTTTATCGAGATCCGTTCACCAGTTTAGGTTATAAACTTTAACAAACATCCATCTATCTAAACTTTTGCATTTATAATAATAGTAAGATTAATAAGATTATTAACAAGATTAACAAGAAGTCAAATTTTAATCCGGATAAGATAGGATCATTATTATTTCTATCTTCTCACATATCCTCTATCATTGGTGTTTATCCTGGCCCACCTATTTTAACCTGACTATTAGAAGTGTGCGTAGTTTTAGAATGATAACTTACCTTTGACGGTTATCCAGTCATCTAGTGTTTCATCAAAGCGATATCCCAAATGTACTGCTCCACTTAGATAACTTCCACTGTAATTTTTTGGATTCTCGTTAGTTATTTTCGATAAATAACTAGCTTCTTCTTGACTGTTTGGTATTGCCAAGTAGGCTTGTTCAGCTTCGCAAGTTTGCGCCGCATCCACCCAAGATTTAGGTAGTGTGTGAAACTTGTAGCATTTATTCAATTCCTTATTGAATTTATACTCTGAAAAGTTGGTAAAATATTTAAGTAAATAACCGCAGTCTGTTGTCTTACAACTTCGTCACTTTATGTTTTCTGTAAACTTTCCCTTAACTAAGGAATTAATAAATAAATCTAATCTCAATTATTTTTATTCTCTAGTTTCTAGTCTTATTTATAATTTGATTTAACTATGTGAATATTATTTTGAAATCCAGGAAGAAAAATTTGGAGAACCGGTTGCAATTTGCACATGATATTAGAATACATAACAAAGCGCCGCGGCTTCGTCCAAACTAAAATACAAATCTTTTAACTTAAAATACGTATCACATATATTTTATTTTATACTGCTTGACTAATCAGTGATTTTAAAATTGACTGATTAAATTGTTTTGCGGCACCTCGGTGGCAATAACATGACAACAATCTCGGGCTCCGGATTTGTTTTTGATTACAATATTTGTTTTGAACATACCCAAAAATGGAACGTTGCATTCATTATTCCATTGTGTGAATGATTCCATAGTTTTCTTACAAAGATAGGGTAACCGTCGGTTGCATTTATCATCCTTATAAAGCCCGATTTTGTTCATAACGATGCAATCATCTTCGGCGGTGATGTCGTTTGGTTCTCCAGACATCCATTGATTGTACACGTCTTTTATTGGTACCCCTGTTAATTTATTGAACATTCGAAATATTGAAAAATATTAGAAAAAAGCATTAATTAAATAAATACAATGAGAAGGTACTACTGATTTTATTGAATTTGAATTTAAAAAACAATCGGATAAAAAAGAGTATGAGTAGAAAATAGAAAGAGGTAAAGCTAAAAATGCAAGGCAGACTTAGTTTAAATTAAAAAAAAACGTATAAGAGTCTCTATAAAACCTTATTATAACGTAGTTAAACTAAAGTTTATACAAAAGTATTGATTGTTTATCGATATTTGCAACGAAGTATCCTTTTAAGGTTTATATTTTTTACAAGATAACAAATAAGAGCTTACCGTCAACACTTTGAAAAACCCCTTTGGTCACTGCGTTAATACCAATATAAATGGAATCTATGTTCCGGTTAATTTTATTTATGTAGCTAATAACCACGTCTCGTTCGTTAATATTCTTAGGATAAAAGAGCTTTGCGCCTTCTAAATCACACTTCACCTTCGCGTCCCGCCATGTCTTCGCTTTATGTATTTTATAAAAACTACGTGTAGCATCTAAATATTTGTAATCACTTCGAAAGAAATGTAATTTAGGTTGTCCGGCTAAAATATTAAACATTTTATTTAATAAAACTATCCATTAAGGTTTAATTATTAAAATAAATTAATTTAATCACTTACATGTTAAAACATATAAACTTTTTAGTATAAATATGACACAGATAACATATTTTAAAATCATATTTTCCGAAACAAATCACAGAACCGTGTACAATGAATATTGGTCTTACACTGAGACAAGGATAAGCCTTGATGCAAATGTCTACTCATTTTTGTATTTACGTCTATAGCCAAACATTTGTGTCAAACCAAGCCCTTAAGTTTAAACAAAATTATTTTATAGAGACCCCATAGTCAAATTTCTTAACTAGAGAAGTCGAAAATCTTTTCGATTATATTAAATTAGTTTGGAATGAATTCCAAAATTATTTATAGCGTGGTCGGTACAGGTTCTTGAAGGAGGCATCGTAACCGTGGGTTTACACGGCGGAAAATCTCATACAGAAACATCTCGTCATCTCTTTAATTCACTTTGACAAAACAGTGATATCAATATGTATTTGTACCTGTGTTAAAGCAGTACTGGAAATACATTTTGTTTTGTTGTTTTTTTTCAATTCTTGCTCATCGACTATATTTATTGTCTTTTTGTACATGTATGAAATCCGTCAATGTAAACATATCCTAGGCAATGCGTATAACTACTAAAATCGCTACGAAATTTGTTAAACAAATTATATTAGAGTGATTACAATCGATCAGAAAAGTAAGGTATTATCTGGTTGAAAATTAAATATTATAGGATAAAGAAAGAGTAATGTAGATTGCTACGAAAGTAGAGATAGGCCGAAGAAAGTAAAGATGGATTGCGTGAAACTAGCGCGTAGCATCCTTCGACCACATCCTCACCTTGGTCTAGGTGGGATAGTGGTCAAGCGCTGATTTTGCAATTTAAAAAAAAAAGAAAAAAATAACGATATGCTTCATTGAGATATGACGGCTGTTGATATATATAGAAGAGCAGTACGTACTGTGCCTACCCTCTGTAGGGATAGAGACAAGGGCAAGTTGATACAGTCTACCACCACCCATAGCCACATCGAGCCTTGGGTCTTCGGAGTCGAATTGCGAGGGCAAGTTGATAATGAAAACATAGATGACAAGAATTAGTTTAATGTTTTACTTAATTTACTAACTTACGAAAGCACTAACACGTAAGGAAAACGAACAGAGTTATCTATACTTATAATATTAAATAAAAATATAATAAATACATATTTGTAAAGTAATGGAAAAAGAAACAATAAAATTATAAGTGCTTTCGTTTTGTTGTCATTTCTTTCCACTCTTTTCTATGGCGTTACCACCAATTATATTGTCATTATCTCTCTCACAAATGAAATAGCAATCTCGATCTTCACAGTTGATATCGTTGAGTTCTCCGTTGTAAAACATGCCGCCGCAAAGCTCCCGATCTCCACCGTCTGGCTGGTAGTAATTCCATAAAGAGTAACCAGCCTGCTCCAAAGTATCTCCTGGAATGTAAGAAAATCACTTGTATTTTATTGTAAACTATAGCCGTAATATTTATACGTTTACAAATGCAGGGATGTCGTATGTCTTGGTTTTAACCCTTCCCTATGATGACCATTGTCGAACCATCTTTCAGAGACAAATACTATTAAATTAAATTACAACTGTAGCAATAAATTGGTTATCTTTTTACATTAGGCAGAAGGGTAATAAAACATTTGATCTACAGGTCCTGGGATCGAATCCCGCCGCATACCATTTTGAATTTCGAATTTCATATGTACATAATTTCCCTGACGTTCTTACGATGAAGGTAACATCGTAATGCAACCTGCACATATGTGCGATGAAATTCAAAGATATGTGTGTGTGTGTGTCAGTCACCCAATCTGTAGTGGACCAGCGTGGTTAAAGCCTAGTTACCCCTAACTTAGATTAGACTCCGAGCCCCTCGATGGGGACGTATAGGAAGCTGGTGATGATGTATGTATATTTATGATTTCATGAACTAAAATTGACTTGTTAACGTATCCTGAACAATTTGGTCTAAAGTTACTCGAATATCTTTCTTACGAAGAAGTCAAAAACGCTGGCCAACCCATTTGAACCTTACTATTTTAAGTGGGTCGTGTTTTAGCTCAATTTTGAATGATAACTTACCTTTGACGGTTATCCAGTCATCTGGTGTTTCATCAAAGCGATATCCCAAATGTACTGCGCCACTTAGATAATTTCCACTGTAATTCTTTGGATTCTCGTTAGTTATTTTCGATAAATAACTAGCTTCTAGTTGACTGTTTGGTATCGCTAAGTAGGCTTGTTCTGCTTCACAAGTTTCTGATGCATCCACCCAAGATTTAGGTAGTGTGTGAAACTTGTAGCATTTATTCAATTCCTTATTAAATTTGTATTCTGAAAAGTCGATAAAATGTTGAATTAAATTACAGCAGTCTGTTGTCATTACAACTTCGTCACTTTACATTTTCTGTAAACTTTTTTTTATCTTCGGAATTGTGAATCGATCTAATCTAAATTGCTATTATAGTCCAGAGACTAGTTGAACTCTGGTCACTAGTTGAATCGACAGATACGTTTTTGTTATGTTTAATTAACTACTTATGTGCATTTTATGTTGATTTCTTAAGTCTGCAACAAATAGTTTGACTCACGTGTTTTAATTGATACGTCATTGTGACCACAACTCGTGTTTTCCTTATAAGTTAATATCTTTGCGTAATGAAGGCGTTGTGTAAAAAAATAAAGCGATTTGATGTGATGTGTTGGAATGTGATGTGATATAGTGTGACTTGATGGCTCGTCTCATCAGGCTCGTCATTTTTGGGAACGAGTTTCAATTTGCACGTGATTCTAAGCAATTATAGATAACGAAGCGCCGCGCCGTCGTCCATACCAAAAAACAAATCTTCTTAACTAATTTGAAATACGTATCACATATTTTTTTTATTTTCTACTGCTTGACTAATCAGTGAATATTTAATTTACTGATTACATTGTATTGCAAGGTTTTGTTAGTCAAAAGGTAGTAGAATTAGTTTTTGAGTATAACATTTGTTTTGTGCATACCCATAAATGGAACATTGCATTCATTATTCCATTGTTTAAACGATTCCATAGTTTTCTTACAGAGATAGGGTAACCGTCGGTTGCATTTATCATCCTTGTAGAGGCCGAGTTTGTTCATTACGATGCAGTCATCTTCTGCGGTGATGTCGTTTGGTTCCCCAAGCATCCATTGATTGTACAAGTCTCTTATTGGTATGCCTGTAGTTTATTGAAAAATATTACGCACAATGTATCAATGTATGATAAGACCTTCAGGTTTTGTTTCATTTGAATATAACAAACAATCATATAAAAAGAGAATAGGAAATTTAAGTGTTACTAAAGAGGCAAAGCAATAACAAAACGAAAAGAACATGCAAAGCAGACCTAGTTTACAACAAAAGTCTGAGACTCTCTAGAAAACATTGGCAAAACGTAATTTAACTTGAGTTCATAAAAGAGTTTTGATTATTTTTCGATATTTGCAACGAAGTATTTTTTTTTAAATTTACAATAAATAAGATCTTACCGTCAACACTTTGAAAAACCCCTTTGGTTATTGCGTTAATACCAATATAGATGGAATCTATGTTCGGGTTTGTTTCATTTATGTGGCTGATGAGCTCATCTCGTTCGTTAATATTCTTAGGATAAAACAGCTTTGCGCCTTCTAAATCACACTTCACCTTCGCGTCCCGCCAAGTCTTCGGTTTGTGTATTTTATAAAAACTACGTGTAGCTTCTAAATATTTGTAATCACTTCGAAAGAAATGTAATTCAGGCTGTCCGACTAAAATATTAAACATTTTATTTAATAAAACTATTCATTAAGATTTAATTATTAAAATAAATTAATTTAATCACTTACAAGTTAAAACATATAAACTTTTTATTATAAATATGACACAGATAACATATTTTAAAATCATATTTTCCGTAACAAAACTCTGCACCGTGTACAACGAATAATGTTTTTGCACTGAGAGAAGTATAATAAGACTCTTGATGCAAATGTCTGCTTGTTTATGTAATTACGTCTTTAGCTATGGTTTATTCCAACCTGAGTCCTCAAGGTTTAAACATTAAAAAAAATAATATCAAAATTGGGCACATATAAAAAATTATAAACGAATTGTAAACTTCTTTCTTTTGGGAAGTCAATAAAAAGCATTTTTGATAGAACCCGCATTGTTCAATTTCTGTGATATTAACTAGAGAAGTCGAATTAACCATATTAATAATGTACAAAATGTTTTTGCAAATCATTTTTTCATCCAGTGCTGGAAGGAGTTATTGTACCCGTGAGTTTCTTTTACGGAAAATCTCATGCAGAAAAATCTTTTCACCACTTTTAATCTATTCGGAAAAACAGATGTATGTTTTTGTATGAGTGGTAGAGCAGTGGAGGAAATATACTGTTTTGTTGGGTTTTTCAATACTTGTTGTTAGCTTGTTCATCGACTATGTTTATTGACTCTGAATATAAAAATACTGGCTTTCAACTGAGACTCCGAACGCGTGGAATTAATTATAACAAAAGTAATTAGTCTATGTGTTCTTGCAGACTATGTTCTGAATCTAAGCTAAATTTCTTCTTTTTCTTTTTTCTTGTTTATGCACTTCTCCGCATTTTGATGTGTCTAATTTCGCATACATTTATTCGCGTCATTTTATTAAAAAGGGGTACTGCTTCAGGTTTTAATGTTACAATGCTTAAAATAAAAATTAACCATATGGTGTTGTTCTAGAAATAGTATTCTCGGTTTAAATTCAAATTTAATAAAATTGTTGTAAATTCTAAAACTGGTAAACAAAAGAAACATTTTTTTTAAATATAGTTTATTTTATTTTGTATAACAGGTAAAAATGATTTTGTATCTAATTTTTCATGTATTATACTTAGTTATTATAATGTACATTTATTAAAGCACTAAAACATTTCATGCACTAACTCCATAAGTAAACACATCTTACACTAAATTTTGTCAAACTGTATAACCTCGAAAAATTACAATACATCAGTAAAATAATAGACAAACAGTCGAATTCTGAATATTTGTTTAAATTTAAAACAGCTCATTAGAGCGGGCGCACACCTTTGACTAAACTATCGCATAACTGTTGTTTAGCAGTCCATACAACTGTTTACATTCATCCATATAAGCTCATAGGAATCGAAGCTAAAATTTCATTAAAATGTTGACGTCATTCGTTCTGAATTCGGCTGAAAGGCATAAAATCGTTGCCTCCATTTGATTGTCAATTATTTCTAGTTCTTGGCGAAGACTTCTCCGAATACATTAAGATTATCATTGTCTCTCTCGCAAATAAAATAGCTATCTAAAGCTCCACATGTAACATCGTTAAGTCGACCATTGTAGAACATAGAGCCGCAAGGCTCTTTATCTCCACCGTCAGGCTTATAGTCATCCCAGTTGGAGTAGCCCGCCTGTTCCAATGTTTCATCTAGAATATGAAAAAAATAACTTACAAAACTATAGTAAAAGCTTGACATTTCTAAGTCTTTAAAAATTCAGTGATACGTATGAGGTTCTAATTCTATCAGTTCCTATGACCATTTTATAATAGGACGCTAGGTTCTAGTGGAAATTGCCATTAAATTAGCAACAATAAATTGGTTGACGTCTCATCTGCACATGAGGCTGATATTCAACGCCTAGTTTAAGCTTTTTAAAGCACACGTTTTAATTCTGGCCGTCACTATTACCTTCTATTCAGTATTGTTTTATATGTAAATCAGGGCCTGACCATGTTACAATGTTACAAGATGTCGCCAATTATGTTATACAAAAAAATTTTTGGATTTGTTTAAATATGTTTGTTTTACAATATTTTTGGATCTGGTTGTAAGATGGTTTGGGTTAGCTTAGGAAAATAAATATTCCCTTTCATTAGTATTTTATCCTGTTCCAGTAATTAAGAGTAGGCTAAGTTTTAACCTAAATTAAAATTATAGCTTACCTTTGAGTGTTATCCAGTCATCGAGTGTCTCGTTGTATCGGAATCCCAAATGCACTACACCATTCAAGTGTTGTCCACCGTAATTCTTAGGACTTTCGTTAGTTATTTTAGATAAATAATCAGCTTCTTGTTGACTGTTCGGTATCGCCAAGTAGGCTTGTTCTGCTTCACATATTTGCGCCGCAAACTTCCAAGTTTTAGGTAAGGTGTGAAACTTATAACACTTATTTAATTCCCTGCTGTATTTGTAATCTGAAAAATGACGTTAAATTGTTTTACTTAATGACCAACTGATTGGTAACTTCGACACTTTTTAATTTTAATTTATGTAAACATTGAAAGAATTGTGCTTTAGATTTTATTTATTATTTTTGGACGGGCGCAATTTGGTTGTCGTTAACTCGGATGTCAAGTCGATAGTTATTTTCAAAAAAGTTTTATATTTAACTAGCTTTCGCAACTACGTCTGGGTGGCATTAAAAAAACAAAAGTGAGAAGCCTATGTGTTCTTCCAGACTATCATCTACGTCTATGATATTCGTCTATTTAGGTTACAAACTCTAACAAACATGCATCGTTCCAACCATCCATCCATCTAGACTTTTGCATTTATAATATTACGTAAGATATTAACAACCTTAGTGGTGTTAAGTGGCTATAGTTTAAGGTTTCAGGTTAGTATTTACGAATATTTATTTAGTACGCACCCAAAAATGGAATATTGCATTCGTAATTCCATTTTGTGAAAGTATGCATAGTTTTTTTACAAAGATAGGGTAACCTTCTGTTGCATTTATCGTCTTTGTAGAGGCCGCGTTTGTTCATTACGATGCAATCATCTTCGGCGTTGTTGTCGTTTGGTTCCCCGAGCATCCATTGATTGTACACGTTTCTTATTGGTACGCCTGTTTATTAAAACATTAAGGGCCTGTCCCACCAAATTGTAAATTATCTGATTTTGTTACCTTAATTGACAGTGACGTCATTTTTAAGCTATCTGAGTATCGCTAATCGCTAAATCAGCTAGTAATGGGACAGGCCCTAATAGATTAATGATACCTGTTAGAGATTTTAGTCCGGTTCTAGTTTTTAAATAAGAGAACAAAACGCATCGCAACAAACCTTAGTATGGATAAGAAAAACAATACCGCATCGGTGTCGTGACGCATCCTTCGACAAAATATATTTTTCTTGTTATTGATGATCGAAGAGTGCATCTCTAGACCGACTTAAAAATCGACAAGAATATCGTCCCTAATATTTTATGCAATTATTTTTTTTAAATAAAGTCGCTATTTACAATTAAATTTTTATTCTCTAAAAGTACTTGATTGACTACTACACTGCATTGACATATTTATAGCTTTCCTCCGCGTGAAATTAAAAAAATCAAAAGCAAGTAGTTCTTCCAGAGTGTCCTCTACATCTATGCCAAATTTCATCCAGATCCGTTCAGCAGTTTAGGCTACAAACTCTGACAAACATCAATCCATCCATCTAAACTTTCGCATTTGTAATCTAAGTAACTAAGTCTTTAATGTAACACAACATGATTCAAATTATCTCTTCTTCATTTACAACAAATCATTCAATTTGATTAAATTTTTATATCTAAAAAGAAAAAAAAATGAAATCTTACCATCAACACCGATAAAAACACCTTTAGTGAGCGGTGAGGAAATACCAACAAAAATTGAATCAATGTTCGGGTTCGTTTCATTTATATGTCTGATGATCGCGTTTACCTCGACATAATTTTCCGGATAAAACAGCTTCGCGCCTTCTAATGCACACCTCACCTTTGCGTCCTTCCATGTTTTCTCTTTAGCATGAATTTTATAATAACTACGCGTACCATCTACATGTTTGTAATCACTTCGAAAGTAATGCAATTCAGGCTGTCCAACTGAAACATTGAAAATAAAACTTAAACAAACAGTCAATTAGTTTCATATTTAAAAAGAAATTAATTGATCACTTACAAATTAAAACATAGAAACTTTTTATTGTAAATATGGTACAGAAAATGTGTTTTAAAATCATATTTTCCGTAACAAAACTCAGAACCGTGTACAACGAATATTGCTCTTACACTGAGACAAGGATAAGAATATAATGTTTATTCATTCGTGTATTAACGTCTATTACTATAGATTATGCCAACTGAAGACCTTAATAAACAAAAGTTACTGCAATTTTTGACAAATATCCTTAATTATATTTGTCGAAATTTATTCAAAAACCAGTATTTAAGAGGCCATACGTCAATAAGAATGTTTTACATTTTTTATTGAAAATATTACTATTATAACAAAGCGTAAACGCACACTTCTTTGTTGCCTAAGATATCAGCAATTACAGCATATTTTTGAATAATTCTTATTTTTAACAAAAGGCCCTACACTTGCGTCATGCTTTAGGCTATATATTTTCACGTAATATATTTTCATTAAACTTAGGGTGTAAATATTTTGGATAAAAACCCTAATGTGGGAAAGAGACCATAAGTTGCTGCCAACATCAAGAAAGAAAGATTGCTAAGGTCTGTCATGTCATGTCATTTTGATAATTTGTCAAATGTAAACAATAAAACAAAGTTTTTTTTTATAATTTGATGCGGACGAAGCCGCACGGGAACTGCTAGTTGAAAATAAAGCTTGTCCCGTCTCATACTTGATATAAACTGGTTATTGGAATCATCGCAATCGTTGGAAAACTGCTAAAGCGGTTATACAATAATGTTATTGTATAACCTCTTTGAAGGAATGAGAGAGATGACATATGTATGTCATCTCTCTCATTCCTTAAAAAAAGACAGAGACAAAGATATTCTGGACAGATGTTTAGGATATGGAGGACATACACGGTTATGTTGTGTTGGGTTTTTAGGGTTTTTCTCATTTGATGAATTTGAAACCTGATTATGCGCATGAAATCAATAGACACTGACATTTAACCTGCGTATTCAGTTATTTATATTTTAATTATGTATTAACACTATCGGAATACATAACAACAATAAAGCGATGAGTCGCAAATGGTAAATAGCAAAATAATTGCCTTATATTCTAGATTTTCCTGCAATTATAAAAGAGACAGGAAAACTACACATACATACTTGTATAATTCTTATATTGTATATTTTAAGGAATAATCAAAGATTAGTTAACCACACGTATTTGTTTAATTTCAATGGCAAACATTTTTATAATTTTGATAAATTTAAAATGAATCCATGCATGTCTTTTGATGCATAATTAGGGTATAAAAGACATCTATCGTCTTTTAAATACATTTGATAGTTTTATTATTTAGATTATTATATTATGCGCCGTCGAACTTTTCACTCAGAAAGCTGAATGCTTTGACTTCTAACTCGCAAATAAAGAAGCACATGGGCTGCTGGCAACCGACATCGTGTAGTTTTCCATCGTAAGCCATCGCTCCACACAGCTCCTCGTTGCCGCCGTCCGGTTGCCGTTCACCCCAAGTAGAATATCCTGCCTCCTGTATTGTTTCTCCTGCATTCAATAACTTGTCATTATTAAAAAAGATCTTACTACCCATCTTACTGTAATCCTAAGGGGGAACACGGAAGCGAATGTTAACGGATGTCTGACGGATGTCGATATTTTAATGGAATTTGCAGTTTAATAGTGGCTTTATCATTTAAGAAGTTGGTAAATATTTAAACGTCGCTTCAACATTTTGTCTGAGATATGCCAGTGAAGAATGACAATTCTTATTGTAATCTAACTTGTTGCAATTTCAAATTCAGATTGTTAAGAAATATTTCGGACTTTAATGTCCATTTAGTAGGAAATTATAGTAAAATCTGTAATCTGTTACCAATCTGCTGCGTTCCTAAATATATTTAACTAATATAACAAATGCAAAAGTTTAGATGGATGGACGGAAGTTTGTTGGAATTTGCAGCCTAAGCTGCTGAAGCGGACGTCGATGATATTTGGCATCAATGTAGAGCATAGCCTGGAATACATAGCTTACTTTTGTTTTTTTATTATTCCTCACGGTCGGAGTAGAAAGAACTAGTCAATAATAATCGCCAGTCGTAAAAGAATGAAATACCTCCAATCGTTTTCCAATCATCTTCGAACCAGTTAAATCCAACATGGACGAAACCTCGTAAGAAAGATCCCTCTACCGCATCCTTCGCTGCATTTTTAGTCATGTTAACGAGAAAATCTGCCTCGTCTTGAGTATTAATTATAGCCAAGTAACCTTGTTCCGCATCACACGCTTCTACTGCTTTCATCCAACTTTGAGGTTTCAAGTGAAATTTATAACAGCGACTAGCATCATTATCACGTTTGTAATCTACAAAAATATTAGACAATAGTTAAATGTTTAAAATGAGACAAATACAATTATTATTTCTATACAATATTTTTATTGTACCCCACTCTGTCTTTAAATTTGCTAACTCAGATTCGTATGCTACACTAGTTTCATTTATTATTTCAAGTCAATTGATGTGAATAATAACTATAAAACACACCGGCATACGGAGTGTGACATTCAGAATTCCATTTAACGGCAGCTAATGGCATTTTGCAAATGTATGGAAATATTTTGAGGCAATGGTCATCATTATAAGTGCCATCTGGACGCATGACCACACATTTTTCAGCATTTCTGACATTATTCGGTTCACCTACGCCCCATTTATGGTAGATATCTTCGAATGCTTTTCCTGAAAAGCAAGAAGGTATAGATCAGTTTATACTGTTTTAGGAGTTATTTACCAATAGTAGAAACAAAAAACTACAATATTTTAGGAGTTTTATTTATTAAGAATGTTGCAAACAAAGGTTTACGAAATTAAATCACTGTCAATAAAGAAAATCGAATCGACGATATTATAACTTCCAACGTTAAGTCATTATACAATCGTGAACAATTTAATTTCTAAATCTATTAAAAAAAAATCATACAGTTTAGTTTTGTTTTCAACGTGGGAGAATTTTGAGAAGATGCGAATTTTTTTGTTTATTGGCAACTGTAGCATGCGCCCTGTCAATGTAGTAAAAATGTAAAAAGATCTTTGTAAGTTGATAACTAGTATTCCAATAGATGGTATTACTTACAATACACAAGACTAGAAAGAAGAAACTTTATGACATGTCTGTTACTTATTGATAATCTTTATCAGAAGTAAGTGAACTATCCAGTGTCAATATCTATATCTATACTGATATAATAAAGTGTAAACACACACTACTTCGTGGCGTAGGATGTCAGCAATTACAGCACATTTTTGAATAATTCTTCCTTTAATAATAACCCATACACTTACTACACGCTATACGCTATATATTTTCACGCTATTAAACTAAGGGGGTAAATGATTTGGAAAAAACCTTCATGTGGGAAAGGGATCATAAACTACAAGCTGACATCATTAAGAAACCAAGGTTATTATGGTGACGGTAATTTTGACATTTGCAATTGAGAATTTAACAAATATAAACAATAAAATAAAGTTTTTATAATTTCATGCGGATGAAGCCGCACGGGAACGACTAGTAAACAGATATGTCCCGTGGCACAAGTAGCATTAATAGCTTTAGTTTTTTATTTGACGTACATTGGCGTGGTACGGTCGCGGAAATCAGAAGCGTTCCACATTCATTGTTTATGTTTTGTTTCGCCTCCTCATCTCAATGCTTGCAAACGACTGAACTTTTTTAACACCGTAAGATTCACCAACTGTACATAATTTATTAAAATTCAAGGTTATACTTGGCCGGATGACATTCGGATCACATAATAAATAACAATTTTATACACACCATCAACGCTTTTAAACTTTCCTGTAGCATCATCTAGGGAAATCCCAACAAACATGGCCGATATCACAAATTGAGTCTTTCTCCAGTGTTTTAATACGGCCTTTGCTTCCTTTTCATCTTCAGGATAAAAGAGCGATCCGCCTTCTATTTCGCAATGCCACTTTGCGTTTTCATAGTTCTTTTTGAGTGTGGAAATTTTGTAATAACTATTTGTATCCGATATAAAAGTATAATCGCTTCTAAATAATTCCTGAGAGTATCCATCTAAAAGAATGTTTTGTTTATATCATTTTTAATAATAACCTTCAATATATTTTCACTTTTGACTTACTTTTAACTAACAATAAGACACAGATATATAAAGAATAATTCATTTTTTTAATATGTGCACAGAATGAGCGACTGTTTCCTTTTACTTCGGCACAACGAATGAGATCTGCTTCGATTTGTCTTATTCGATATCGTAGGTTAAAAAGATCACGTAATTTTGCGCAGTTTATGCTGTGTGCTATTTTTATCTTACCTCTTTTCTCTAAGCTATTCGAGTTTCGAGGCAGAATCATAAATTATCCTACACCTGTGTGCGTCTTGTCCAGGATTTAATTCCCATTGCAATGCACGGAAAAGAGGTTATAATATTAAATGTAATAGCTCTCTGTAAAGGAACTTTCCTCCGGATTCTGGTTACCTTTTACGGAATGTAATTTTTTCTAGTGAAACATTAGGACACAATAAAACAACAAAAAAAATCAACTCGCATCTTCATTACACACAGATGAAGATGCGAACGCCATTGTGTCGTTTACTTTCTTCCTAAATAATGTAATATTTATTAAAAGAATAAATCGTGTATTTTCAATAAGTTATAACTTTAATTTATTACTACAGCGGCGAAGCTCGGAGCTGCAATATGTAATTCTATAATAGATGAGGTACCAACAAATTCTGATCATCTTGTACAAGTACATGAATTTCATAGCATTTAACAAACTCAAATTGATACATTATTATTGCTAAGACTTCGATACATTTACAATAAGGGTTTATTTACAATTATTGTGCCTACAAATGCAATCCCACTCCGGCGGCAATATCAATCTTTCCCGAATTTGTCATTCAAAAAGCCGAGCAGTTTGTTTTCTCTTTCACATATAAAGAAACATCTGACTGTAGTGCAGCTGACGTCATTAAGTTGACCGTTGTAGAACATGGAACCGCACCTCTCGTTCTCTCCACCGTCGGGTTGGTTGTTGCCCCAGGACGCGTACCCCGCTTGCTCTAAAGTCTCACCTAGAACACACATATCTCAAAGTTGTTGTACATGTAATAACCAACATTGACTCGTTCGGAATGGCATGCGTTAACTAACCATAAAAATCTTACAAGTTATCTTAAAAGTTATTTCTCACAAACGCCAACAGTAATCAAACATACCCATAACTGTTTTCCAGTCATCTATTGTTTTGTCGTAGCTGAATCCTAAATGCACGGCTCCACGGATGTAAGCTCCTTTTACTTTATCTTTGGGCGCAAGAGCAGTAATATTGACCAGGTGTTCTGCCTCTAACTGCGAGTTTATGATGGCCAGGTATGCTTGCTCCGCGTCACACGCCTCTAAGGCGTCTTTCCAGCTCAGTGGGAACAAGTGGAACTTATAACATCTGCCCAAATCTTCGTTATATTTGTAATCTAAAAATAAGTTATATTTTACGCAATTCTAATAAAACAAAACCATCTCGAACCTGAATGTGGCAAAGATAAAATAGAAAAATTAAGGCATAATAAAGAAATAACAATGAGTATACCTAAATATGGACTATTGCATGCTTCATTCCATTTCCTATCTACTTCTATTTTAGTTTTTTTGCAAATAAATGGAAGTTTGTCAGAACATTTCACGTCAATCAACTTCCCATCTCTGCGCATTACCACACAGTCTTCTTCGTCGTTGTAGTTATTTGGTTCGCCGGGAGCCCAAGAATTGTACACGTCTCTCAATGAGTCTCCTGTAAAATAAGTATGTTTGAAGGTCTTACAATTTAAGGAGGAAAATATTTCTTTCGAATTAGAAGTAAAACTTTGTAGAGGTTCGTGACGAGATTCGAACGTCGCGACACTATTGGCTACTTAAAAGACCAATAAACTGTTGCCGGATCTCAATGTGAACCAATCATTTGAAATATAGCAGCATTATCGAAAAGACACTTTGTACATTCGAAATGTAATTAACCGACCCTTTTCAATTGGACTAGACAATTTTACATACCGTTCGGGGCATTATTCACGAAAGGTCAGTGAACTATAATGTGCTTTTTCATTTCGTACATATAAAAATATTTAAATAAAACGTCCTCACCGTTTACTGTAATGAATACTCCTTTTGTTAGAACCGACGCTATCCCGAGGTATATTGAAGGTAACGTAGACAGTGTATCGTTTAAATGCCCAAGAGCCACATCGGCCTCCAGACTCAGTTCAGGAAAGAAAAGAGTCGCGCCTTCGAGTAGACACCTTTTCTTAGCATTTACCCATGACCTTGGTATCGTATGTATTTTGTAAAAGCTGTTCGTTTCCTCAAAATACGTGTAATCGTCTCTAAAAAATGCTTCTTTCTTTTGTCCATCTAAAATTATTGTCAGTGTGATTAATGAAATTTTATGAATATTTATTTTTTTAATACTAATGTACTTACCAATAGCTTGGAACACTGAGTTTATGAACAATAAAATAAACAAGCATTTTTTATAAGCCATATTGTCTTATAAGCCAGATCGCATTAAAGACAACGTCCGTCTGACATGAGCTACTTAATTCGAATGAGTAATAAGCAACAAAATCAAGCAGGAAAACCAGCTTTAAACATACACATAGATATGTCGACTATCCTGCTTCGGTGTTCTAAAGATTTTTTTAAAATAGAGTAAACAGCGGGTCGTGGCTTTAAAAGCTGTCAGCCATAAACCACTCTTCATTTCATAATTTTCAAAATTTATTCTTTTTTATTAAAATTAAAATTTGTATAAAAATTCTTTACCCAGTTGTGTTGACGGAGTCCAGCTCATGGAAAGGAAAATATTTGTTCTGTGTATTATTTCAATCTTAATACTGTATAGTACTTCATACCGCATTAATTGTTTACTTAAGGGAATTGACTATTCCTTTGAAATTTACTATTCCGTTTTCGTCTTTTGTTGTTAGTGTCTTTCAAGTATGTATACTTTAATCCTGACGTAAACATTATCAGAGATTTTTAATTCCTTTTGAAATAAGGACAATATGAGTAATTAAAGGAAAGTATATGAAAGGTCTATTTATAGTAGTTAATAAAAATACAAAAAGAATATTAAATTTTATTAAAATAAATTACTAGAATATTGAATGAAGGTACACATGATCCAATCTTTATAGCGACTCGTAATTTTGCACTACAGTTTTGGGCCAATTTAAAGCCAATCTTACTAATAATATTTGCAATAATACTTGAGCTCGCGAACCACGAGCTGACGTAAAGTTTGACTCTTATATTGTCATAATTAATACAAAGTAACTCATTGAATGATCATTGATTATTCTACACTTCGTTAATTTTATCATCAACGAAACTTGTAGTTTTGTTTTCCTTTTCACATACGAAGAAACATCTGTGAGTATCACAGCCGATGTCATTCAAAGATCCCTCGTAGAACATTGAGCCACATCTCTCGTTCTCTCCGCCGTCGGGCTGGTTGCCAGCCCACGATGAGTAGCCTGCTTCCTCTAGTGTGTCACCTACAATCAAAACATACATTATTTTATGTCTACTATTAAAAAAATATAGGGAATACTGGATGAAATAGTATTTGAAACAACGATTTTGAAAAAACATACCTGTGAATGTTCTCCAACTCTTTTGAGTCTGATCGTAGTAGAAACCCAAGTGTACGGCGCCGCTCAAGTACGAGCCTTGTACTTTGTCCTTGAAAGTAAAATATGTTCGAAATTATTGTCTCATACCTAAATAAGGTGTGTTGCATTCTTCGTTCCATTTGAGGGACTGTAAAGTTTTCTTGCAAATAAACGGATACCTATTAGAACATTTCTCATCATTCAGTGTTCCATCTCTGCGAAGTACGACGCAGTTTTCTTCACCGTTGTTATCATTCGGTTCGCCGGGACCCCACACATTGTAAATAGCTCTAACTGCGACCCCTAGGTGAGAAAAAATATACAAGTGCAATTACTCTAATATGTTATGGAATTCTGCCTGTAATATTCCATATGTCTATAAATTCTGAAGTTTCCTGTTTATTACAGCTTTTAAGGGCGTTCTTATATTTGCTCCTGAACACAGCTGACCGCTGTACCGAGTTTGTTGTAATCACAACTATGTTTTCCTTCTTCTATGTCAGCATTTTATTCTATAAAACTACATTGTGATAAAACTTATGTATTCATAATTACATGTGTCACTTATAAAACAAATAATATAGCATTATTATTATGTAAATGTGGCTGCAGGTTATCTGTAATGACAAACTTATGCATTTTATTCTAGGGCTACTAAAATTAGGTGTCAGGAAACACAGCTAAAAATAAAACACAGATAAAGGCTTATTTTGCATAGTAAGAGAAATCTCTCTTTTATATGTAAAACTGAGCAGCAGGAAAAGAGGATTCTTTTACTGTCTTTTTGAATTGAATTGAAAACTTTGAATAATGCTCACCATCAACAGTCTTGAATACTCCTTTAGCAAGATGTGATGAAATTCCGACATACACCCATCCGATTATAGGATGTGTGTTATTCAGATCAGCAAGTACCATGTCGACTTCGTTCTCGTCTTCAGCATAGAACAACTTTGCACCTTCGAGAGAACATTTTGTTTTTGCTTTCTCCCATGACCTGTACATTGTATGAATTTTGTAGAAGCTCTTCGTTTCTTCCATATATTTGTAGTCATCTCGAAAGAAATGGTTTTTCTGTTGTCCATCTACAAGATTTACAATTTTAAAGTAAACTTAACACTAAGTGATATAACTGTTTATGTTTTTCTTACCCGCATAGATGATGTATTTTAAAAACAAAAAAAGAGATAAATATATTGCCTGCATTTTTATCCTGTCTTGATGCAAGCGTGCACTAACCACAAGACTTCGTATAGAAATGATTTAGAAGCGATATTAAAACGTAATTATTGCTCGCAGTAACTTAAATGCAATGTTAACAGGAAAATAACAAACTACCACTTGTGTCTATTCTTAGTTGTTTTCTGCTAGTTCTCTGGGCTAAAATAATCAGAGGACAGAGAGACTGTTCTCTCCGTTCTCCGAAAATTGTCTAATATCACTCAAATATAAAATTACATCGTATCCTGTTGGGTTTTTACACATATGATCAAAACACTTTTGGCTTTCTGTGCTTTTTAAACTTTGCTAAATTAGAGAACTTATTATAAAATCTGTGTATATACTTGATGGCATGGGTACAGATCGTTGTGACATCTGTATATACTAGGTACAGGACTTTTAAAGATGTTATTCGATATAAGACTTAAATATACCTTTTTCTATTTATAACAGCATGTATAACATTTAAAGAAATAATAAGGTTATCATTATTCCAAAATTATTTATTTAACTAAACATTTAACGGTATCATACAAAATTACCATTAAAATTAATTATTTTACAATGTAATCGCTCCGTAAAAAATCTGTTTTACAATATTAATGGAATACAAAGTACACAGTTTTTTAAAGTGATATATACAAATATGTACAAATTAAGTCTTTAATATTTATTCGTATCAAATGTTGAGTATTATTTATGAAGTCTTAGAAATATCTATTTAAAAACTATACAAGTCAAAAAGATAACACTTGTAAAGTAGTCATTTGGTGCTGACTTTGGAGTTTGAATTTAAAAAAAATATATTATACTCCGAATCTATCATCAAACAAGTTGAGAAGTTTATTTTCTACTTCGCATATAAAGAAGCATCTTTGTGTATCACAGCTGATGTCGTTGAGGTGACCGTTGTAGAACATGGAACCGCAGCGTTCGTTCTCTCCACCGTCGGGTTGATAGTTGCCCCACGCTGCGTATCCTGCTTCCTCTAATGTCTCACCTGGAACACACAAATATTCTTGTCATATACATTTCGAACGACAGTGGCTGATCACCGATCCGAGACATGAACCCACACGAGAGGATCTTATACATTTTGGAGCAGTAAAGGTGGTCGTGTAGTTAAATCCATACCTGTGGTTGTTCTCCAACCATCCTCAGCCGTGTCATAGTTGAAGCCCAAATGCACGGCGCCGCGTAAATACCAGCCTTGCACCTTGTCCTTGGGAGCGCTGGCGGTGATATTAACAAGGTGGGCCACCTCCTGCTGCGAGTTGACGATGGCTAAGTACGCCTGCTCAGCATCGCACGCCTCTACCGCCTCTCGCCACGTCAGAGGGTGCAAGTGGAACTTGTAACACCTGCCCAAATCCACATTGTATTTGTAACCTAAAATGGAAAACGTTTGTGTGTGTTATTCATCAATATTACTAATTAAATTTACAGTTAAGCTGTAATTTCATGGAACGCAGCAGACGGCAAACGTCCGTAGCAGTAGCATGATTCCGAGTCTGATATGTATATGATTGTAATTGTGTGTCGATTGCAGTCATACAACGGAGTCGGTGACTAATAATCAATAGTCGGTAAATAATGCTGTCTGGCGTTATAGCACTTAGATATGCCGCTTGATGCTGCCCTTTTCCGTTTGCTGCGTACTACGAAATCGCACCTTTTATCCTAAATAAGTTAAGGCAAAAGAGAGCATAACGAAAATCATCTTTATTTACAAAGCGTTTATAAGTGTGTGAGTAAAGTATGTCGTTGTCACGTAAACACTTGTTGTAACGACAATCTCGCGACCCCAGTGACCTAAGCGATAAGAACATTGATTTGCACATTATGAGTACATCTATACTAATATAATAAAGCGTAATAACACTTCTTTGTTATGTAGGATGTCAGAATCAGAGCATATTTTTGAATTAACGCTTTTTAACAAGATTTACATCTACGATAAGGAAAAGAATTGCTCTACGAAAAAGGACCAAATCGACAAGCTAATAGCAGCAAAGAAGCAAAGCATGGTTACTTAAATTTTTAGTAAATAGTAGCAAAGAAGCAAGGTTGCCATATATAGCAAGGGCCTTCGTTGGCATTTGAGCATTCGAATTTTGACGTTAAAAATTTTGATTGAACGTAAATATTAAAAATTACTTTTATTATCTATGAACAGTACATGTATATGTACAGTACCAATACACCGTGTAACAAACAGAAGTGTCTTTGTTTAATTATGGATTGAAAATTATGCAAAACATTGTACATCTTTTTTGCACAATTTGCAGTCTACAGATATAATAATTACATACATCAGCAGGACAATAAGACATAAAATGTAATTTTTTTATTGTTACAATCGTTTAATATTATATCTCTATAGAGATAAAGTTTTATGAAGTTTGTTAGATTATTTGTTAGTCAGCTTTATCAATATTTCAAATGTTTTAAATAAACAAAGACTTAAAAATTGACCGTTTACAGCTTTATTCATACCTAAATATGGAGTGTTGCATTCTTCATTCCATTTCAGCGATTGTAGAGTCTTTTTGCAAATAAACGGAAACTTCTTTGAGCATTTCTCGTCATTGTAAGAGCCCTCTGTCTTCATCACAACGCAGTCTTCTTCACCGTTGGCATCATTTGGCTCCCCGAGACTCCATTTGTTGTAGATATCCCTGACTGCGATTCCTGTAAATATTGAATGAACGAATTAAAAAAATTGTATGAAAAAAATTCGTGCCAGTAAAGATTTGTAAATAAATAGAGAAAATTACTGTATTTGTAGTAATCGTAGATTTTATAAATTATCTTAGTAGCTACAGAAAGAAAATTAGTCAATCTCTGACAATCCCAGTGAGTAACAAACCTATGATTGTCATTATTTACTAGTATAAAGTTTATATAAATCAATGGTATCTGTTTAGTTTTGTTTTTATTGTTTATAAGACTGCGTCACGCAGGTGATTTCCCCTTGTAACCTTGATTTGTAATAATTTAAAATCATGACTAAAAAGATTATTAAATCTTTTGCAGGTCTATAATTTATAACAGGTTTTTCCGACGGGGAAAGTACCTTAAAGCTTATACGTAAGTTTTTATTACCTATTGTATGTCACAAATGCGGTAATTTTACCTTAATTAAATTTACTAAAGCATTTAATGTTGGCATTTTATATAATCTGTATAATAATCTAGTAGTATAAATAAACTCACGTCATTATTTAAATCGAAATGACGTCAAAGTTACTAAATAAAACCACACCTGCGGTAAGTTAGTCTCAAACTGGTTATTATTAAATAAGCTTGATTTTTAATTGATCGTAGTATCGCACACAATCACAGTTAACTTATTCACGTCACTAAGTTTACATACACGACCATGAAGTTAATACGTGTGTTGCTTACCGTCTACTGTCTTGAAGACTCCTTTTGCTAATTTCGATGATATCCCGACAAACACCCATCCGAATAAGGGTTGGGTCTCATTCATGTGTGCGAGGACCACATCAGCCTCGTTCTGGTCTTCAGGATAGAAGAGTGTAGCGCCTTCTAGAGCACATCTTTTCTTCGCTTGGTCCCACGTCTTGTGTATTGTGTGTATTTTGTAGAAACTGCTCGTATCCTCCAAATATTTGTAGTCATCTCTAAAATGTTTAATTTGCGGTTGTCCATCTAAAATTTGATAACGATCACAAAACAGGTCATGGTCCGAGATTCGAAATGATTATAAAATTACTTACACGTGATATGAAGGACGGATTTTATAAACAATAAGATGAATAAATATTTTACGCGTGCCATGTTGTGTTCGCTCACGATGTGAGCGTGCGCGAGCGGCGGACTGTCTTATCCGAATGAGTAAAAAGCAGATTCACAATCGAGCGTCGTCGCTGCCACTTAAACAAGATTAACAGGAAAACTCAGCCAAGAACAGCATTTGAACAAATATTTTAAGTTTGAAATTATATTATCATTTGATAGAGTTGTATTGGATACACGGATGTTTAAAGTTGTTACTACTTTACTAATCATACCTACTAAGTTACTATATTTGGCGAAAATGTATTTGCCACATTTGTAATTAGTTGTGGTTGGCAATTACTTCTGGTAAAGGAAGGATAATTCTGCTCGAATGTTAAAGACACATTAATAATTTAATGTCAGTTGAATTTGTCGTTTTCCATAGGCGTATAGTCATAAACTATTACAGACCTTAAAACAACGAAGACAAAACTATTAAAAACAAATGAGACAGTTATATTTACATGAAATTTGATTTTGTTAGCAAAACTTAGGAGATCTCAATTATTCATAGACCTTGCAAATAAAATGTGAACGTCATAAACCTGACGACTTTGCAAGCATGTTAAATAGTTAAAAAAAAATTACGTTTAAAAATAGAACTTACGATATACATTGCACTCAGTTACGATATAATAATTATAAAACTGAATGACCACAACGAGAGCAATTTCCAATTCATTTTTCCAGATCCATTGTTCGGTTTTACCCAACACATCGGAAACACCAAAGCGTCTACCTGTCGCCTCTGCAACCCAGTCATTGGACTTTTAGTCTTACGTCAAAGATATTTTATAACAATTTGCATATCTTTGTATCCTATTACATGATATCAACATTTTTGATACAGTTCAAACCAAACATGACCTGATTATGACTGATTTCGTTGTCCCTTTTTTCTTATGAAACCGCTTTTTTTTATTTATGTATAAAGGGTAAAAGCAAAACTGTTCTCTTTAGATGTACCGAATTAAACGATAGCATTTTGCTTTGCCATTAAGCCTTATAAAGTTATAATACAATATTGATATTCAAAGTTCTGTCCAGTTTCATTAATTTGCAGACACGGCCTTCAAATACATATTCGTGTGATATATGAATAAATTCTGTAATAACAAGTTTTCGTCATATTTTATAGTATAACTAAAAGTAGTTATTGAAAAAATACTTTATATTCTATAATACGAGTAAATTTTTAAATTAAAATCACGTTCTTGACATTATGATAAAAATATGAAAACAATAATATACGGACTTTTCGTCAAATTAATACAGAATACTGAAATGTAGACAGGATTTACCATTTTATTTCTTTAGTTTTTTTCTAATAAGCTTGTAATGAACGACAGTAAGATTTTAGGTAGCAGCTATTGTGTGATAAAACGTATTTTACTTTGCCAACTTTAAACAAAACAATACGCCTTACAGGATAATGTTCAGTGCTAAAGTTTATCATGTTATGGATGTGTAAATAGTTCAATCGTAGTCATAAACAAGTTGGTAATTAATATTGTGTTTTTTAATTGTTACTAGGCGCGTGCGCAAACCTGACTGAGCCGTGAAGGCTTATTTATAATGATTATTTTAGTTACTTTTGTAATCACAACCAATTGGCTGATGTTTAAAAAGCGAAATTAAAGTCTATCATCTCGTTTGGTCGAAGTGTAGAGTAAGATTTTACGTGTAAATTAGATCTCAACTTGTTTCAAGGTATCACAAAATTGAACTGTTGAGCTGTGGCTCAACAACTAATTGGAGGCTAACGGCTCAATAACATGTGAATGGACGAACCGCAACCACCTTGTAAATCTATATTTGCAAATTAATCTCAGCTGCTAGACAATTTATTGATCTGTTTCAAACATCGAAACATTGGGTGTTACTAAGAAGTAAGCTGCTCCCTGGAGCCGCCAACAATGTCAATACCAATTAAAACTAAAATAAAATAGTTGCCCTCTCCCAGACCTATTCTAAATAATCTTAGTCGTTTCAAGTCACATCAAACAATGTTTAGACGCTGTTCCTCAAACATACATCATAAGTTTCGATTTCCGGCTTAGATGATCAATATGATCCTAATTTTAAGAGAAGTTTTAACGTTAAAAAAAAATCTGCAGCCTATCAATGTTACACAAATTTGTATGATAGCGAAAAGAAGCGAAGCTAAAATTGATAGTTTCTTTAAACCAAAAGTTTAATTTGTTATTTCTTATACATATGTATTTTGATTACATTTCAAATATTGTATTATTAAGATTAATAACACACAAATACCAAAAACAACTAGTTATAACATAAGTAAGAATTTTACATGTAACGTATGAAAAAATATGTCTTAATTTACGTCGCCTATTTCGTGAACCTAACATGCCGTAAGTACGAGGACTGAATTTACTCATGCACGTGATGTGAGGCGTAAGCTGATCTGCAGATCATCAATATTTCTTGAGTTACCCATGACTAATGGCATCCAGGATTATAACTATGTGTTCCTTTATAATTAGTTGCTCTTAAACATTGTCCTCTAGAATGACGAATAATCCGTAGAAACAACTTTAACAGCTGTTCGTGTGAGATGTTATTGTTGATGAGGACCGCATCGAGTTTGTTTCCTTTAATTGAACTTGACTGACAGTGGATTTCCCGACAGGAATTTCCTCAACCATGAGATACTTAGAACTAGATTAAATTAATGGTACTCATGAGCCAGTAATTAATGATAATATCTGATATTAGGACGTTTTCTCTCTACATCTGTTTACCTACCTAGTTCCTGTATACCCCATATTACGTTTTCATTTTCTGTTTCTTCTATCTATCCGGTGTTCTCCAAAAGCGTGACAATTGGTAATTGTTATTTCTTAAGTGGTAAATAACATGCACATTTTATTTATCTTATAACATTGAAGCTTCAAGGAATAAAGTGAAGAAATAAAAGACAAAATTATTTTATATCGAGGTGTAAGTTTATTCGCATAACAATTTTTCATACAAATTTCCTCGTTTTGTACACACCTTTTCATCGTTTTGTTTTGTAGTTATCTTTTATAAAAGTTGACTCTCTAAAATTTTTAACATATCGTCATGTCTGTTCCCTATATCTAGTTCGCTTCACCGCAGCGGTTAAAACATATAATAAAGGATTCACTAAGGCAAAAGTATTATTAGGGGGAAATAATTATTACCGCGGACAGAGATAGTATAACGAAATAATATACAAGTAAAATGTGTTTCGATGAACACGGAATGGGCTCTTATCGCGAAGTATCAGCCTTCCTTGGTCGACCGAGTGGCAGTCGCGCGAGGGGCCTCTAGCGCCCTCTACCTTAACAATAGTTGTAACAGACATTGCACAAGTCGCACTGGTATCGGTAACTGGCCACGAGGCTGCCAGACACACTTCATAAGATAATTCCTCACTAAATAACAACTAAAATCACTTTAAAATCAATTCAAAATGTACATTATTCAGCTTAATTCAAGTTAAACAAATTCTAATCTGCTACAAAAAAATTAGCAAATTTAAATACAAAGATCACCTAGTCCGTCTATGTAAAACTTAAGTATTAGCGAAACAAGAGCGAGCGCCGGCCGCGGCTCACTCTACTTTATTATGCCTTTCATTGTACATTCAACGAATTAATAGCGAAACATATTGCGTTGACACATTAAAACTAAAAAAAATGACTGTACATTTTATATTTTATATGTAAATATTTGTACATATTGCACTCTGAAGTAACAAAACATTATTAAGAAAAATATCTGTCGAAACGAATATATACGCAGAACAAATAGTATCAGTAAACACATAGTCAATGAAATTATTTTGTAATCACAATTTTTCGTAGCTCATATATTAGTCTAAGTCCCTATGGCTTACAAAGCTTACAAAAGATAAATACAGAGGTCATTTACAAAAAAAAAATATACTTCTACCCAAATAATATAAAAATAACAACAGCCATCTGTACTTTCTTAGATGAATAAAATTAAACATATGTCAAACATATGACAATAAAATCTAAAGGTACCTATATACAAATTTTAATGGACACAGCGGACCACTACCCCGTGGTCCTCGCGTCGGTAGACTGGACGTGCCACGCTTGGTCACCGCGCACCCCTCCTTCCCCCCCATTGCGAACTAAACAGTTTTGAAACAACATTGAAAAAAAAACAACCGGTGCGACCCTGCGACGTGGACAACGGACAGCGGATACATCGAAGATTAACAGTTATGTAAAATAGTGAAACCTTGTTGTACCATAACTTTAACTTACATATTGTCTATTCTGAGAGGAAACTGATAAATCTTGTTGGTATCTTAAACCCGCCTGACGCCGCGTAATTTAATCGTCAGAGGGAATACCCAGTGGTCAACAGCGTAATGACCCGGTGTCCACGTCGCGAGGTTAAACATGCCCCCTCATCCGTCCCCCGCCTATCTCATAGTCGCTCGGACGCGCACATCTCAGCAAGCGACAAAACTTATCGTCGTACTTATGTTTCATTATCAGCTAAGACACAAATTATATTAATGTTTTCCCATTACTTATTACGTTTCTCGTTAAGAGATTAACATTAGATCCTTAATAAACCTATTATAATTTCGAAATCGAATAATATGTATCAAAGGCGATTGGCTGTGCACCGACGGGGTCCGTGAACTATGAAGCTACAATGAGTCCTACGCATCGAATGATTTATAACAATTTACTTATCGAATGGCAGTTATAATCGTCACGAGAATCGCCTCGGGCACGGCGTACATCGCGCCTCGGCTATAAGGCATCTTACGTAGCGGAAATACATGAACACGCACGCAATCTACGGATCACAACTCAAACGTTTCGTAGAAAAACCCCTCGCTATGACCGCAAACATACCGCACCATCAAATTACGTTATAATGGCAGTGTGATTGTTACGCCCCAGCCCTAAACAGCAGAGACCTAAGACACTCGAGTGACATTTTGTGCTTTTTATATTTAATCGCCTACTGCTAGAGTAAAAATAAGTGTATAATTCGAAAAAATGTACACCCGACCTTGCGAAGACGTGAACATACGTTATTAAAAACAAACAATTTAACAAACTATTTTTTTTCTGATGGCTGAGAATCAAAATTTCCAACCCTGTCAAATCATTTACTCATATTTACATCTCACAAAACATTTTGTCCGACAGATATTTAAAAAAGAAAATTAACTGCAATACAAATCAATGATATTTGGTTATTTGATAAGACCATCGATTAACTTTTAATTAAATTACCGTTTCTATCTATCCTAAACATTCACGTCTACACAAAGCCGAGGTGAAGCATCCTAGCGTCGGTCCGCGGTGCACGCCTCATCACACACAAATCTATATTAAGAAATGCATTTCCAAAAAACAACAGTCATACAGATCATGTAAATCTACACCACAATATTAAACGGCATGTAAAGAAGACACATTCAACACGCACCAAACAGACTCTTAGTTAACTAGTACAATACGAGTGATGTGATATACGCACTGTGATGACGTCACTATACACGAATACACGATCCGACAGACTGAATTAACGAAGTTACTTAACACCTATTGCCTTAGATGAGCCTTGATTGATATATTTGAGACTTTCACCAAATACTTCAAAATTGCGTAAAATATTTGAAGTAAAGATTATTTTAATTCGTATAGTTTTCGGTCAAGTCTTCAATATACTGTTACCTCGTGAACAAAACTTTGAGTAATGTTCCAGCTCTGAAAATGTTTGGTTAACTTTTAGTGACATTTGAGTAGTTACTATTTGACATTTTACTAATGTGTTACGCTCACCTAAGACAAAGTGTTAGGTAAATATGCCTACTGGTAAAATATTTAAATACATAGACGAAATTGATTAATATTAGGAAGTGTAAAATATTTAATTAAAAAATTGATTACAACAGTTATAACGTAATTTGATATAAGCTCTAAATGTTGAAAAATAGTATTCTTATAGGAAACTTCTTTTATTTTCAAATATACCATGATTATGACAAAAGTCTTTTGAACACAGGCATTTTATTATGCAATAATTTTGTAGTTTAGATTGCTTTAAATTACTAAAATTATATGTTTTATTTTTTTGATAATTTATCTGAGATACAAACTTTAAACTTTATCTATGTATTAAAATATTTAATAAGTGGCATGTATACTTATGTATAACTGAGATCGTTTGAATTTAGGATCTATGTTATATGACGACGTAACATAAGGAGATAAGGCATATCGTACACGAGTGATCACGGACAGTTAATACAGGTTTGTAACTTTAAAATCGAAATGAAATTCAAATTACCATTAAAAATTACCTTTAAATTGAAAATATGTTTTTTGCTAAGTTCAAATATAAAATTAGAAACCTGTATTTTTCATATATTATTTGTGAGACAGATGCAGTTTTATTAGACATCAAATTACGTGCATGTATCCTATCGTTTCTATAACATTTACATCACTATTCCAATATTGTTCCCATAGAGTAAGCTCGGCCAAACATCATACAATATATACTAAAACAAAAAAAAATAGAAAGGTAAATCAGCTGCCGTTAAGAAATTACAAATAAAAGTTAGTCTTAAAGATTAATTAATATAATTTATACAGATTAAATAGAAATAAATATCAATTTGGACAGATTTTTATGGGCTCTACATTTCTAACTTCGAACCTATAACAGCTGCCTGATAACATGCACGTAACTTGATATCCTAAGTAGAATATTTAAGTAACAAGTACGTAGAAGTTTTTAACTGGGAACTGTGACATCTGCCTCAATATTACAACGACGTTTAATTAACTTTGTTAGCTTATGGCGATACTTATTGTAAATTGCACAAACTGGTACACAATGTTGCTTTCAAACTCGATAACACGAACATATGGTTGCATTAATACACGATTTATGGTACTTTAGACACAGATATTGACTTGGTGCAAAATAAAGTTCTCGACGAACTAACGACTTAACTATAACACTGATAGACAGAACTTCAAAGCATTTCAGATATTTGATCGTAACACATAAATCGGCACATGACACAACATGTTATAAATGTAATCACAGCAATAAATTATAAATAAATCGACAAGTCGAGGGACACGGGCACAGGAAACATTAATCGAAACCAAAACTGACACACAACACGCCTCATAAACTATATATGAACTAGGGATGGTCGATACTAAGCGTTGTTTAATATTGCATCGCAAAACCGATGTATTGAACACATATCGAAGCCAGTAACATCAATAGAAGTAACCAGCAAAACCCAATCGAGGAATTTTTAAATAACAGATAATTAAATTTCATCATTAAATCTATAAAAAATATATACAAATACATAAATATGTAATAAATACTCGGCCATCGATGCCTTTTATTCGATAAACGTGCGTGTCTGTGTCGATATACAAATATCTGTGATTTCGACCATCCCTAGTTTAAACAAACAGTCGCAATTCAGCGAACGACGTCGCTGACACAACTTATTGTAACCGAAGGCGCAATATATTACATATATGGATAGATAAATCGAAAAGGTGTTTTACCCACAATTTTGGTAAATAAACAAAACTATCAACTTTTTCATCCAATAGAATCTTTTCATATATTATTTATTTATAACTCTCGTAGTGTACGTATGTGTAATTTAGGAGGTGTACTTATCGAATCTTACAGTAGTCGTATCCGAGTGACCAACCGAGCCAGCCG